GTTGAATGGTGTATGTGCAGCTGATAACCATCCTAATCTGATAGGGAAGCGCAGAATAAGTATGTAGAAATAAAAATAGCTTGCGACAAGATAAATAAATAACTGAATAAATAGCTTATTCTCAGATTTCTCGAGACGCACCAAACCAGGCGTTATCAACATTTATATGCAATAGTTTCGGAACAAACACGTTGCTATATAGCTAATCGGCAGTCAACCGAAAGTTGTACAGGCTGCGGAAATTGTGAAAGTGATTATGAGAAGTAACGTCTTCAAGGAATGACGATACGCGACGTTAACGTTTGTGTAATGCAAACAGTTAGGGCACTATAGGTGTAGTGAAAACGGTACATGTAGACTTGGCGTATCTTATTCTTGTGCGCGTCAAGAAAATATTGAATTAAGCTTCTGGTCGACTTGCCGATATGTAGTTTGGGCCGGGACTTTATTCACTGGCGAGATACCTTCGCCATGTCGCGGTGCTGTTAACCGGACATTTGTGGATTTTAAGGAGAACGCTTGCCAGGCGAAACCCACCACTTCCTGGCAAATGGTGGTCAATCAGTTTGTACACCAATGTACAACTGGCAAAGCAGCTTACCAATTGGTTGCACGCTTGGTTATCCGCAATCAACTGACTTCAGATTTCCTCCGTTAGTTGATCATATTACTTGGTCAGGGCCGCATTAATCGCTGAGGCCAAGCCAGGATGTGAGATTCACGAATAGGCGCCTTTGTGTGTGTCCAGGTGAGCAAAACCTCAGTTTCTTAGGTCTGGAGTTTCCACGCAATATATATACTTTTCAAGAATGTCAAGGCATTATTTCCAGCTAGCATTACGGGCAACGGTCGTGGTAGTGAGTGCAGTTGTATCCATTTGATGTACAGTCATGTTCTTTGTAGGCTCTTGTGGGTTATTACGTCCTGTCCCGGGCGAAAACTCGGGTTCCCAGTCCAATCCCAGAGCACCAAGAAGTTCCGGACCTCGGAGAAAAGGGAAAGCGAGGGACCAGTAAACCGGAAAGAAAAGAAGTGGAACCAGACATTGTTAAGGTCCTATGTTATAACGTTTATAGTGGGGACAAAACGATGTGCAATGTGCAACAATGATTGTGCTGAAAGTGTCTTTTGAGCGTTCTACGAAAAGCAATGTGCTTTTAGGTAGGTTGCTACTGTCTACCTGGAGTACAGAGGGTGTAGCAGTCTGGAGATTCCCCGGTTTGCTTGTGTAAAATTCTAACCAAAATTCTATAATTGTACACTTAGGCAACCGGTGTGGTTTGTTGAACTGATTGCTGAGTTCGAATGCTTTACTTGCTCATCGCCATTTTTGCTTGGCGCTCGCTTCGGTTGCAACGCGCGACTGCTCTGTGTGCTGTGCTTGATCCGTTCCCCTAGCTAGAGCGTCCACGGTGTCGTTCGTTTATAGCTAGCTAACAGGGAATCTTTTGCTGAACCAATAAAAGTTTCTCTGCAACTCGATCCGTCTTCTGGAATCGCTCTCTGGGCTCCCGGAATAGGCAAGCCTCTAAATTGGTGACCCCGGATCCGGAACAATCTCAACGCCGGATATTTCGAACTTTTCTCCGGTGAGCT